TTTTCATTGTTTTTTTTTGCATGAATAGATCGATTTTGTATCGATTGATTGATTATTGTTGTTATTTTATTATTTTCCTAGAATTGTAAGTTTGAATTTCTTGTTGTTTTTCATCATTGTGAATTTTTTTTTATCTTATTCATTTCATTACGATTCATTGGATATATCTAATGCTTTTATGGAACGATGATTATCTTACATCGCTTGTATAATAGTAACCAATCATCAAAAATGTTTGAAAATTTTTCCATTGTTGTTTTTGGAGAATTTCTTGAATTTTTTTTGCCCAAACACAAATTTAAATTAGTGTTCAATAATCGAGTTATGATGATGGTGTTAGTGTTAGGTGGATTGGCCCATTTCAAACTAAAAAATTCGGGCCATCTATTTTACTGAACAACATTTACAATCCGGCCAAAGAAATTTTTCAAAAAAAAAAAATTCCTATATTTAAACACACAGGATACAATGTGTGTATCATGTGTGTGTGAGTGAATATAGAGAATTTCCTCTTGGGAAGCGTTGATGCAAGAATGTTGTGTATTGAAAAATGATGATCCATCGTCTTAAATTCTATCCAAAAAAAAGAGAAGAATTATATAAAAACGAAAGCCAACTTGATAAATCAATCGACCGTAACACACACACATTCACTATACACTATTTTACAATAAGGCAACGAACAAAAAAGTGAAAAAAAATATCAAGTATGTCTGTGTTGCACTTGAAACCAAAAAAAAATCACAATGTTTTTTCTTGACGAAAATTCTAATGTTGTGTGTGCATTGGATCTCCATGAAAGATTTTTGTTTTAGTTTGAAAAAACTATAAATGAATTGTTTCTTTCTCTTTTTTCGATTTAATTTTTCTTAGTTTGGGTTTAGTGTATGTTTGAATGTGTGTGTCAAGGATTTCGTTTTATCAAGTTGGATCGATATCAGAGTGGTGAATGAAAACATGAAAAATCCATAAAAAAAGGGTATTTCTCTTTTTCTCTCGACTTTAATTGATGTTGGAATAATTTTTTGTTTTGCTTTGTTTTTGAATGATTCTTTTATGTGACCTAACTTGATTCTATTTTGGATTTTTTTTCTCTTCAATCCTTTTCACTAACTCAAGTCCTATTGAAAATTGACAATGTGATCCTTTATAACGAATTTCAATTTGACTTTTGATCACAAAAAAAAAGTTTTTTTTTGTTTGTAAATCTTTTGACTTGAATTTGCTTCCCAAAACGCCCAATTCTTTTTTCCTTTTATTATAAATGGTATGAGAAACTGGATAAAAATGATAACAAAAAAGGTGTTGATATTTTGTTGTTGTTGTTGTTGGACATTGGATCGATTTAAAATCTATCGATTTTTTCCCTATTTGTTTGTAATAGAATTTCTATTTTTCATTTTTTTTGCTGGTTTTCGATGGCTAGTTATTGATCTGTTTGGTAGTTTTACACCCATTTTTTTCTGTTCATTTTGGTGATTTAAAAGAAATTTTTTTTTCTGACCAGTTTCTTTTGCTTTTACCCACACCATATGTGGGTGTGTGAATTAGATTTTTTTTTTGATTCAATTCTTTGATTGTTCGATTTTTTTCCAACTTTTAAGAATAATCAAAAAAAAGGTCCAAAGTTTTTCTTTTTGTTTCGCATTTCAAAATGGTTCGGTGATGGGCGTCATTTTTTTTCTCGTTTCCTATTCTTTATATTATTGAATACAATAATAACAATTCAGAGATGGCGAAATATTCTTGGAATCAAGAATCATTTTCCCTTTATTTCTTGACGTTATATTTGAATGAATAGGTTATTACGATTGAATTTCGATTCATTTTCCATCATCATCATCATCATCACCATTCTTTCCCAATCATATGTGAACAAACGAAATTCTGATATAACAAATACATACAATGTGTACATATAAAACGAAACGAAAGAATGGAAGAAAAATCGAATCAAAGATGAAAGATTTTTCTATTCTTGTTTGAAGAAGAAGAATAATAATAAGAAAATAATGTCTATTATTCATCCACCACACCACACCAAAATCTATTTTTCTTTTCTTTTTTGCACCACCTTAAGATGAATTACATTTATTCTATCCAACATAGTGAATTTGTTTGGTGATCATGATCATTGTTCGTTTTGATTCATTTATTTCGTTTTTTTTTCGTGAATTGTTGTTGATTAGTTTCCAAGCAATAGATATAGACATTGTCGATCCATTTGGATGGTGAATAAACACAATTTATTCCTTTACTATTGTTACTGTTTCAATAATAATGTTTGAAATCAATTTTTTCTCACTTTTGGTCTATTTTTTATTAGTTACTTTTTACTTTACCACACAAATAATTCTTTTTGATATTTGGATTCTGTTTGTGTGTTGGTGATCGATTATCCTTCAATGTCCACTACATACACACAACACAAGAAAAAATAACGAAAAAATATAACAAAGATTTGATCACTGATCATCTTATTGGTAAATATAAATAAATAACATTGAGATACAAGTGGTGGATGATCAATGAAAGAATATTCTGTTGTTATTGTTAGGTTGGTGTTGATGTTTGGACCCAATTTATTATTATTATCATTTTTTTGGATTCTTGGATTGTTTTTTTTTGTTTTTTGTTTAGTTTTCGTTTTTTTTTGGTTCGGGCAAATCCAGTGTGCGTCGATATCGATAATAATGTTTTCTATTCTTTTTTGTTTGTTGTACTGTTTGTTATAAGATAGGAAAAGATTGGAATTTTTGTTTGTTTGTTTGGATCGAAAATCCTCTTGGTTTATGGCTATGAACGTTTTGGTTGTTGAGAGTGATCAAATAGAAAGTATTTGGAATTTTTTTTTGTTTCTTGTCCATCATCATCATTGAAAATCCATCGATTTATCGGGAGGTTTTTTTATTTTTCATATCTTTCCGAAAAGAATCGCTCTAATTCAATAATAAATAGGTCTAGGTGTCTGGAATCTTTTTTCGTAGTATTTTCTCAATTTGCCCGTCTTAACTTTGAACATCGTTAACAACTGCACAACAGCTAACCCAAAAAAATTTTTTCTCATTCGCATATTTACCCCTTTTTTCTATTCGATATTTATTGAGAAATTTAATTCAATTTTGTTTTTAACTTTAGATATTGAATTTAACTTTTCAACTTGATCGATATCGACCGCAAAACCAATTATTTAACCGTTATCGAGCCGAAAAAAGGTAAGGAAATTGTCTTTTAACGCCAAAAATAAACATTGAAACAACACTAAAAAAGCAATCTTCATCTTATTTCTTTTAAATTCATGATAATGATGAATGTTGATCGACAAAGATCGATAAATTTCTTCATGGCGTCAAGTTTTCATTCGAATGATAAAGATGATGATGATGATGATGATTAATGCCTATCACACATTCATACGATCAATTCCAGGAAATATAGATGTGTGATATTTAGTAAGCTAATTAGTATTTGAACATCTTTATCGATTTCCAGACAAGCCAATAAGCTAGCTGAATTAAAGTCGTTGTTGAAAGTTATCAAATTTTTTCTTCTTGACATAATTTTTTCAAGATAATTTTCATTCTCCTGAGATAGAAACTTCCCGAGATTAAGAATTTAAAAAAAAGTTATTCAAATCAATCAATCGATCATTGATGATGCTCTTCAACATTCTGTCATTTAATTTTTTTTAAACATCATTTTTAATATTTATTCAATGTAAAAAAAGTTGAATACTCACTCTTCACTGTACTTCCCTATCGAAACATTATCATTATCACCAAAGTTTTTCTCGGTTGTCCTCATTATCATCATCATCATTAATGATGTGTATAATGATGATGATGATGCGGATAACTAATAAAAACAAATTAGAGTTTATACACATTTCATATTTAGAATCATAGGAAAATTTATTTCTCTTTCTCTCATATTTTTTACACTTTAATTCCTTCTACTAAGTACGAAAGTGAGAAACCACACCACCGTTGACGACCCATTGATAATGATGAAAAGGATTTTCCGTTTTTTTTCCTGTTGTTGTTGTTGTTGTTATTGCCAATTCTGTTCGTCTATTTAGCTTCAACACCAAGTATCATCATCATCATTAATTGATGATGAATTTCATCACCCAAAAAACACCAAGCCATATATTGGTTTAACAAACAAAACAAAATAAAAACTTTTCATATCACTAATGATGATGCCATGATGTTGCTTTCGATAATAATGATAATAATTTTTTTGTTGGTTTTGGTTTTTCGGTTGGATAGAGGGGTTTCCATAGTATTTGTGTAATGGTTTGGTTCGTTCATTTATTTGTTTGAATTTAGTGAGTTTTTTAATCCATGTATTTCATGTTTCGCTCTCTTCGTTTCATCTATAGATAATTTTCATTCATTACATTTCATTTTACTTGTATTTGATCTATGGTTAGAAATATGAAACAAAAATGCATAATAATTGAATTTTTGTTTATCAAGATTTTTTTTTTCATCATTGTCATTTATTTTCATCAATCGATCAAAAAAAAATTTCCGCATATAAATTTCATCAATGATCAGATAATCCTTGTTTGTTTGTTTTATTTGAATTTTTGGGTGGCATTGTGTTGTTCATCCAAAATCAATAATTCATTTGCTATTCTATTATTGAAGTTTTTTTTTTCGGTTGATGATGTGACCATCTAATCTCTGATCACATATATCTATGGTTTTAGTTGTTTTTTTCCATATGAATATTAAATGTTCATTTCAATATTGATATTTTGTTTTTATCTGAATTTTCTTTCAAATATTCTAAAAGATTAATTTGTATTATTTCAAGGGCCGCGTTAAGCTTGATAGTAAAAATATTACGTACGTCATATGTGTATGTGCAGCGAAACTCGGTTTGTTTCGTTGCACGCGTGTATTAATGTTGATGATGAAATTGATGTAACGATTAAAATATTCCAAATAACTCATTTTTCTGGTTTTCTCCTCAATATCTGAGTATATTGATCAAAACAAAAACAAAAATTGTTGTCAAAATTTGCAAAGTTGTTCAAGTTTGATGAAATTTTGTTTTGCTCAATTTTATTATGTTTAATGAATTTGCTTTTGTTTCATTCTGATTTTCGAAAAAATTTTCATTGTTTAAGTTGGTGTATGTACCCTTTGCCCTTTCTCATTTTTTTTTATTATTTTCTTTTTTTAATAACGTTTTATTTTTTGTTTTTTTCTCCCACTCCCTTCCACAAATGCATGTTTTGTTTTTCGATTTTCGGCTCAAACATTCTCAAATAACGTTTTATTTTTTGTTTTTTGAAAATATTGTCATTTTTTTCTTAATCCCAAGTCATCATCAGTTGAGATTATTGTCAAAGATAAAAACCAAAAAGAATTTTATATCAAAGTCCAAAAATGTCAAAATTTATACATGAATCCGATATGATCGAAGTTATTGAAGGAGAAGCATCTCGTTCAATAAATTTATTCGACAATTATCATTGGAATTCAAGATCAACAATCGATTATACTAGTTCGACATTTCGAAACCGAAATGACCATGACCACAACAATGAACATGATAATCTTAATTGCAATGATAATAATGATGTTATAAATCGTCATAATCGTGATGAAGATCACTCATTGAGAGATGAATCTGATAATCATGGTAATAATAATCGTTCACGTGATTATGGTAATGAATTTGAAGAAAATGAACATGGATCATCTCGTGGAAATTCCAATCAACGGTCTATAGAATTACTTCGTAGGGTACTAACAAATCGTGATTCATCATTTGGTATGATTGATTCTAGATTTGATTTACCACCAAGAGCCATTTTTTCCCGAAATTCTAGAAATCAAACTCGGGCCATGGATAATAATATTGGTTTATCTTCATCTATAGCTAGTAAAAAAGATAGCCAAAAATCCAGATTTCATTATCATTACGATTCGAAAAAAGATTTGATTCGCGATATGCTAAGTAATTTTCTCTGTCCATTCAACGAAGATGATTATTGCCGATTTGAGCACCATAAATCTTATCCTTGCGAATTTTTCCATCCAAAATCTGGCGTTGATAAATCATATAATCGTTTGCCACCATTTGTTTGTGTATTTAATCTGATTAATCGTTGTAGATCGCCGTCTATATCATGTCAAGGTGGTGAAATGCGCTGTAAAAATGGTTTCCATTTGGATGTATTGCGACTATTAGATTTGAAACAATTCGAATCCGAAAATGAAGAAAATTTACGTGAATTTTATGGCGGATATTCCCAACTTGAATGCACTATCTGTTCAGATAAAATTTGTAATAAATTTTTACATAAATATCGTTGTTGGGCATTACTTGAAAGTTGTTCACATTTTACCTGTTTGCCATGTATGCGAAAATGGCGTAAAGTATCTCATTCCTGTCCATTATGTCGTATCGTATCGAATCGTTATTTATGGTCATATTATTCCCAGATTCCAGATGAAAATCGAAAAAAGTGTTTATTTGATAGACGAGATTATCATGTAATAGAAGATGAACCTCCAGCTCCAATAGCATCTGAACCATTGGATGATATTGAAGTTATCTATCGTTATGAAGATGATGGAACTATTCTTTATCTTGAAGACCCCTATGATGATTACTATTTTTGAATCATATTTATTGCTTCATTTTTTTTTGTTGAAAAATTTCCACTTCAATTTGAAAAAATTGATAATTTTCAAAAATTGGAATTACAATTCACCAAATGTATTAATATTCCACATCAACATTTGAACAAAATTTAGGAAATCACATAAAAAAAAGAACATTTTTTAACATTTTCCAATAGTTCAACTTAATTGATATAATAATGATAATGGTGAAAAAAATCAATGTTTAATGATGTTTCTAATTTTCCTGATTATGATTTATAAATTCTTATTTCATTTACATTTCGTTCATCTTTTCAAAAAAAAGTATTCTAGAAAAAAAACAAACATTCAATTTATAAATAAAACATTCAATTTTTGATTTGAATTGAATTGAAGAAAAATTATAAATGGATTTTTCTGTTTTGTTTGAAAAACAAATTTTATTTTATTTTTTTCAAAGTTATAAAAATTTTGGATAGCCATTCATTAATAACAAACAACAATTGAATAAATCAAAAACAAATTGAAAAAAAATTTGTTTAAAAATAAAGAGATGTTCTTCATGGAACATGAATTTTAAATTTATCCATCATTCTTTCAAAAGGTTTGTTTTGTTTTCTTGTTGTTGTTGTTGTTGTCGAAAATCCAAATGACAACCTAATGCTATTAATGGAATATGATAGTTTCAAATTTTTTTTTCACATTATCATTATCAATATTATTTTTGCAAAATTTCATTGATAATGATAATGATAATGACAGATTGATGGAAATGATGATGGTAAACATTTTTTTTTCTCTCGCAACACATATCTCAATGTTATCGATACAACATACAAGAATCGTAGACATTTGTTTTCAAATATTCTCTCCATTTCGCTCGTCTTGTATGTGACAAAATTCATTTATCCCTTTTTTTTCGTAAATTTTGTGGCATATCCATTGATTTTTCTTATGATACCGATAATTTTGGTTTGATGTAAAACTTTTTTTTTCTCCTTGATTCGATATCGGATTGGGTAAACATCAGATCAGTAACGAAACCAAAAAAAAACTTATGAATCGAAAAAAAGATGGACATTTTCTTTGATAAAAGAATTCTTAGCACACACACACACATCAACCAACAAGGATAACCAGATCAAAAAAGTTTATTTTTTTTTTCGTCCATTCTCCAGAATTCGTGTCCAGTATTTTGAATGAATGATGGTGATGGTGATGGTGGCGATTGAGAAAATGAGTGAAAAGTTTTATTATTATTTTTTTGCTCAATTGCAAAAGTTTTTTCAAAGTTGGAATAATTCTGTACACACACACACACACCCATAGACATTGAGTGTATGTGACAAGTAAATTTTCTTTTTTTGTTATTATTTTCCTTTTTTTTCTCTCTTTCTTTTCAAGTTTATTGTCGAGTTTTTTTTTCCATAGTTATTCTGTTTTGAGAAGATTGACATAATTAAATTGTTATGTCATTGTCGAATGTTGTTGTTGGTCATCGAGAATGTGAAAGGGAGATCATTTCGTCGATGTATGTTGTTGGTGATGGAAATTTTTTTTTTTTACTACAAAGTTATAAAATAGCTGTCAGAAAAAAAAAATTCAAAAAGATTCGATTTTTATCAAGTTTTTTTTTGTTGTTGTTGTGATGAAAAGATAAATTCTTTATGTTGGATTTAACTCTCTTTTTGTTGATAATTTGTATTTAATTCCGTTTGTTTCTTTGTTTCTGTTTCGATTGTTTTTCTGTCAAACTTTTTGATTTGTTTCACTCGAAAATTGTTTGCTTTATTTAACCCCTCTATCGCCACCATCCGGTTATAACATCTCGATAACATTGATCGATTCCAAATTTGATGATGAATTTAAACGACTATTCGAAATTCTTTCTGTTTAAATATAAAGTTTAGAATGCTTGTTTTTTTTGAAATTTCATATTTACATAAATGATGTCTTATGGTATATCATAAAGTTTTCGCTTGGACATTTCACTTTATTATTCCCCCCAAAAATGTTGTTTCAACAAAAAAAAAAAAAAATCCCATTACAAAGTTAAAATAGCTTTGTGTCAAATGTTTGTTGTTTTGTTGGTAGAAATAGATCAATTTTTTCCCCTTATCTCAAATCATACAGAAACAGAGATTTTGTTGTTAACAAAAAAATTCATTTCAATAATGGTGAGAAAGTTGCAAGTATAAAAAGAACTATTTGATAAACAAACAAATTGAATTTCTTTTTTTTTGTTGAATGAATTCAAAGATAATGTTGATGATTGTGATCAATTTTTTTCCCTCTCTCTTTCTCTATCTCTACAAGTTTGTTTCGGATGCAAAATGGAAAAGAGAGAGAAAAAAAGATAAAATCAAAGTTTCTATTTTGTCCAAAAAAGCACCCATAATAACCGAAACCGAATAACATGAACACAAATAAATAAATAAAAAAAAGGGACCATAACAACAACAACAACAACAACAACAATAATAATAATCGAATCGTAATAACCGTCGACGAAAAAAACAAAGCCAAAACAACAGTGAAGAATGCTAAGAAATAATAAGAAATGAAAAAAAAGATGCAATCTTTTTCCTATCTCTTCTTTATAGTCGTTTTGTTCTTTCGTTTGTTCGTTCGTTTTTTCTCTCCTCGACAATCACCAATTCTTGAATCATTAATTTAAATGTTGATCGATATCAGGAATAAACGAAAAAGAAAAAAAACTGAGAACCCGAATAAGGCAAATTGAATGTGGCTGTCCAAGCCAAAGAATTGAATCGAAATGAAAATGAATTCAATTCGTTTTGTATATTTTGCAATACAGTTGTTGTTGTTGTTGCCAGTGTTACATAAATAAGTTTCTTAAGAAAACAAAAAAAAAATATTATTCTCTGGATTTAACGAAATCAAATTCTTTGATTCATTAATTTATATCTTATTCGTTCTTTGTTTTTTTTTGGTTATTATCATGATAATGAAAGAATATTCTTTGACGAAAACAAAACAAAACAAAACAAACTTTCCAAACAACTTTCTTTCCTGTTGTGATTTTATATTTGTACTTTTTTTTTGAAAATTTTCTCTCAACAAATACAAGTATCATTTGTTAAAGAGACATTGAATGAAAAGATATATATCCGGATCCAAAAAAAAGAAAGAAGAATCCAAAGTAGATTTTCTTTTCTTTTCTTCTTTTTTTTCGGTATCAATTTCATTTTCGATAGAAATTTTCTTCTGTTTATGACAAGTATTTAAGATTTTCTGTTCAATTTTTGTTGTTTATTTTTGTTTTGTCTTTTATTTTTGGTTCTTATTTCACAATTTTTGTCAATCTATTCATTCACTGATCTTTCAATAATTACACAAACAATGACAACAATGATGAATAATTAATTCTTTTCATTTTTTGGACAAACATTCCCCGGAAGGAAAACTAAAAACAAGAAATTTTAACAGAAATCTTTAAACAACAACAACAACCAATAGTGATTATCATTATTTCATTGACTTAATGACGTCAACAACAACAACAAAAACAAAAAACAAATGTCCAATTCATTCATCAAGAATTTTAATTTTAAAAATGCAGTCATGTCATGTCACATTGGTTGTTTCACATTCAAAAACAAAATGACAAAAGGATTCTATTGCATTTCAATCATTCATTTAGTTAATTTATTCTTAATTCTGAATTTGTTCCGAATTCACCAAAATAAATTCTATTTATATGGATTCTTGGATTCTAATCACTTGATCCAATCTAAAACACACACAATCCAATAGGCTAATGATTTCATTCTATTCATTAATTCTCAGAATATTTCATACATCGAGACTATTTTGATGTGAAAAAAAACTGTAGAATAATGATGATGATGATGATGATGATAATAATAAGTACCGATAACAAACAAGCGATGAAAAAACAAAATCTGAACATCGTAAATATTGGAATGGCAAGAAAAATTGGAAAGAGAGAGAGAGAAAAAAAGTAGGCCAAATTCATTTTTCTTTTCAAGACTTTCTGGACTACTGCATATGATCATTATGTTTTGATCTTTGAATTTATCTTTGAATTTTATATCATTTGTCATTTCATTCACAATTCTGTTGTTGTTGTTGTTGTTGTTGTTGCTGTCAACATGAGCCACTTTGGTTCGATATTTTTTTTTGGTAATGTTAATGATGATCATGATGATAAAAAAAGATATTCAGGGGCCAACTTGAACCAACAACAACAAAATGTAAAAGTTTTATTTTTTCTGGCTCTTTTCATTATTGAAAATTATGAATCATTTGGGAAAATTTATGATTTTGAATTTCACAATTTCATCGTTGTTGTTGTTTATTCAATTTATATGGATCATATTTTTTGTTTTGTTTTCGCTTTTTTTTTGGCTTCAATCAACCAAGTTGCAAGTAGCAAAAAAAGTTTCGATTGGAAATTTTTTTTCCATTCTCTTTTTTTTTGTTGTTGTTGTTGTATATCCGGTACAAATGAGTGAACAGAAAAACTGTCATCCAAAAAAATGAATGAATTTAGCAGTTACAAAAGGAGCCAGAACCCTTTCATTCACAAAACTGCAAGAATATTGATGATGATATGGTCAGAATGGTTTCGAAATATTTTGTTTTGAATTTTGAATTTTTAAATTCGATATAATAAACTAACTAAACAGGAACAGGAAAACAAATCATAGTGGCAATGGCGAAATGAAAAAACTTTTCGTTTTTGTTGATGTTTGATCCATTTATAGTTTATTTTTCATCATCAAGTGAAAATGCATCGCTTTACTGCAAACTCCACGGATTTTGAAAGTCAGTGTGAACAACAACAAAAAAAAGTTTCAACCAAACAACAAAAAATGATATTTTTTCTCAAGAAGAATATTCCTGAAAATGTTTGTTTGTTTGTTTGGTGGATGGAAGAAAAATATATTGCCCATTAACGCCTCGTCGTCGTTCTAGTCGTTTAGTTTCTGTTTCTGTTTCTGTTTCTGTTTCTGGATTTGATAAATTATTCGGAAAATGTTTTTTTCTTCTTCGTTTTTTTCTTTTTTCAAGAAATGAATTTAAATTGATTGCTTGTTGGCAGTCAGTCATTTAGTTGGTTGAAATTTCATTTCATTTGAAATAAAGTTTTTTTTTCATATTAATGCTGGCTGGTCGCAATGTATTTCTTTTTTCGAAAATGATGATTTCAAAAAAAAAAAAAAAAATTGAAAATCACATCCAAAACAAAATACTAATTAATCACTTTATTCCTAGCCAAAAAAACAAAAATCGATAATTTTATCAAATTTTTTTTTCTTTCAAATGCTTGTGTAATCAATAAATCGATCGATTGATTGATTCATATAATCGATTTTTATTTTATTTTTTCGGTAAAAACGATTCTCATTTATATTCATATGTATGACTTTTCCACCATTTTGAGCGGCTAACCAAGGGAAAAACAGCGAAAAACTAAAATTTTCCATTTAAATTCATAAATATATTGAGCTAATTGATTTTGTTTTTTTTCTTCTCGTTTTTTTCTTTTAGGAAATTCAACAATTTTCTGGCTTTTCAAAATGATATCGATAATCGACATTAACCTGAAAACAAAAAGTTAAATTGATTAATTGAAATTTTTCTCTAAAAAACAAACAAAAAGTTTCTAATTACAGTGATGAAAACGATGATGAACAATTTATTAGTAAATCAATCAAATGATTTATTATCGAAAATTATTATTATCGACAATGATCATCATTATCATCATCGTAAACGACGAAAACATCGATCTAAATTAACAATAACTACAAAGGCAATGATGATGATGATGATGATTAAGAAAATTGTGATCATAATGATCATCATACAATCATCAACAACAATAAATCGTTTGCCAAATACTGTGATGGCCATCAATTTACATTTACAACAACAACAACAACAATTATCAAATGATGAATATATTCAATCAACAACAACGATATCGACAACATCATTACAACAACAACAGAATAATAATCAAAATTGTAATATAATATGTCAATGTAAATGGAAATCTGGTAAAGAAACGGCCAACTGTGATCATCGTTCATTACAAACAATACCAACAGGTCTTTCATCAACAATACAGGTGATTGATCTAAATGGTAATATGCTCAATAAACTTCCTGCCATGATTTTTGTTAAACGTGGTCTATTAAATCTACAACGTATCTATATGGCCAATTGTCATTTAGGTTTGTTTTTTCATTTTTGTAAATTAAGTATTAATTTTTTTGAAAAAAAACTACACTAAACCTAAAATCTATTTCCTGTTTTTCCGTTTATTTATTTCACTTATTTCTTCATAATGATAATCATTATCATTATCATAATTTCTTTTGGTTGGTTGGTTGAAAAAAGCTGAGCTCATCAAATAGCCAACAACAACTAATAATCATAATAATAATAATAACAATTCAGCAATTTTTTGCTGATTTTTACAGGAAAAAAAATCCATCCAACAATTTACGGGGTAACAAAACGAACAACAACAACAACAACAAAACATTAACCTTTTCTGTTACGGTTGTTGTTAGAATAGTTTTCATAGATTGGAATTTTTTCTTGCCCCAGTTTCTTGCCCAACAAATTGATGAAATCTTCATTCATTTGGAATTCTGTTGATAATCATCATTTTTTTTTGTTTTCAGTAGTTTTGTCAAGTTACAAGTTCAAATATATAAATTAACCTTATTAGCAAATTGTTTGTCGTCTTTATTGGCTGGGTTCAAATTATCATAATGATTGTCTACTGGATGTAAGTTCTACGTGGAAAAATCTAATGAACTCAATTGTTTGCTTGTTTTCATCAATGCTTAAGTTGTTTGCATATTTTCCAAAAGTAAGATTTAATGATTATAAATATGTGTGAGTGGGGGTTATTTAGGCAGATCAAAGTCATTTTTGAATTCTATTCAATAGTTGAATCGGATTGCCCTTTTGGTCAATTAGAACTTTGAAACCAAAATGTTACAGAATTTTGCATCATCATTATCGTCGACAACAACAATGATGATCAAAAATTTTCAATTGTTATTAACACTTCCTTTCCCTCACCCAGAAAAAATAAAACAATTGATTTCATTGAAATAACAATTTGTATTTATTGTTTTCGATCAAAAGTGGAAGTTGAAATATGTGAAACAAAACAACAAAAAAAAACTGGAAAAAGTTGACTCCACACTTTAATCATTAATTGCGTTTGGTGCAAGATAGACCAGAATCAAATGAAATAAAAATAAATGAATTGTAAAAATGTCAGGCCTGTTGTTGTTGTGAAATAATGTTGTTGTTGAGAAAAAAAAAAACGAAAAATACAATTAAATTTAATAATCACTTTGGGACCTATTTACATAACTTTATTTTTTTCCGGACCATTTTTTTTCATTTGGATTCGTTTCGTATCCTGTTTTTTTTGTTTTAAATTGAAAAAAAAACATTCAATGATGATGATGAAGATGATTGGAAGATGTTAGAATGATTGAATTTGATTATTTTGATATACCCCGAAAGGTTGTCATCAATTCTTTCTGAAATGGTCATCAGCATTATGTTGATTGGGTGAGAAAACACACACACAATTCTAATAATCATCTTCGTCGTCAACGACAACATCCATTATCATCATCATCATCATCGCTAATCGACTGAAAAAAAATTCAATTTTAAAACACACTATAATCGTACAGATGAGACAAAAAGCAAACCAAATAAAGTGCGAACAAAAAAATGAAATAATTTCATGTTTGCTTACATTGATAAAATCGATATCAATGGATCAATTGAATCAAGAATTACATCAACACCAACAACAACAACAAAAACATCTCTATTCTGTTATCATAATGAAATTCTGCTACCAATACTAGTACATTATTTTGCAACTATCATCCAAGTTTCATAAGTTGAACAAATTAACCATTATTTTTATTATTATTATCATTTTGGTGATGATGATGATGATGATGATGATGTAATATATATAAATAATCATTAAATTAACCATTTTTGCCTTTCACCATTTTTACGTTTTAAGTTTCTATTCAATAATAAGCTATTTTTGAAATAAAGGTTGTCTTTATGGTGTTTATATGTGTTATTCTGGTTTGTAAAAACGAGACAGGACACTATGGGTTTGTTGTTGTTGTTGTTAATTTATGTGCATCTGGTTTTATTTATTTTGCACCAATATTTTTATCAATAATATGGGTGTGTGTAAAATTCTGAACCATTCAAACACCCAAAAAAAACCCATTATAATTATTATTGTTCAATAATAATATTTGGTCATTGTCGTTTCTGAAATTTATTAGAAAAAATTATTATTGTTTTTTTTTGCTTTGTTTGTTTGTTTGTGATTCTTCCATTCGCCACCTCGGCATCATTGGAAAAGTCTTTCTCTATCTTGCTGTTGTTGTTGTTGTTGTTGGTTCACCATTTGACATCATTATTATTATTATTATTATTATCTTTATCGATAAATCTTTTGGAATTTATATCGGATACCAAAAAAAGAACCGCTGTTTGAAAATGAAATTAAATTCCGGGTGTGTGTGTGTGTTTTTTTTAAATTTAAAACAGAAATTATTGAAAAAAAACTCAAAATTAAAAAAAAATTATTTTGCTGTTTTTCAAATAATTTATGCGTTTCGGAACCCCAAAACAAAACAGAAAAACAAAAAAAAACGGACAAAAGTTTGCTTCACTGCCATAATTCCATTGAGTTTTTTGGTAATATCAACTCCATTGCCAAATTGAAAATCCATTTTTGTAATCAGCTTTTTTTTTGTTTGTTTGGAAAAATAAAGTAATTTATAAATAATAAATTAGAAGATTAAAATTGATGGACAACATTGATGAGATATTTGAGAAAAGTCATCATAGATATTGTGTAATACAATACAAGTTGAACATCGATGAAAGAAATTTATCATCATTTTTTTTTGTGATGACAAACTAGAATTCCCGGGAAGCTTTTTCTGTTTTCACTATTTGAAAAAACAAAAACAAAACAAATGAAAAAATGTTTTATTCATTTGATATCCGATTGGATTTGTAAAAAAAAGTTTTTCATTTTGTCAATTTCTAATTTCTTATAATATCATCGTCAATAGATTTGTTACAATTTTTATTTTAAATTTAAAAAATTTAATTTCAATTTTTTTATTTTCTTTTTTCTTTAAAAACTTTAAAACAGTGGAAATATCGGCCGAGAGCTTTATAAAATTATCCAATCTTATTGAGCTTGATTTATCAAATAATTCATTGACAACAATACCATCAAGATCATTAGCTGAATGTCATGGTTTACGACGATTATCATTATCCGGTAATCGTATTAGTAATGTAAAAAGTCGTTCATTTTTACCATTAACAAATTTAAATTGGTTGGATCTTTCCAATAATGTGATCTATCATCTTGATATGGATGCCTTCATTGGTTTACGTTCATTACAAGTTTTAAAATTACAATCAAATCATTTACAAACAATACCATCATCACAATCATTTGTACAATTTTTATCGATAAGAATTTCATTAGATCTTTATGATAATCAATGGCGTTGTGATTGTCATTTAAAACCATTTCGTGATTGGATTATTACTAATCAAATACCGATGACAATTAAACCTGTTTGTTATATGCCAACACGTTTACAAGGTAAGTGATATTCAATTGTATTTTAAATCTCTTTTATAATCATTTATTCTTCGTTCACATTCAATTCTCCAATTTCATGAAAAATTTTGTTGTTTTTTACCAAGAAAAACCAGAAAAGAATTTAGCATCAATAATTTGATGTGTGTGAAAATTGTACGACAGGAAAATCTATTTCAAATGAAATTTCTTCTTTTTCTCTTTCTTTTTTTTTGACATGCGAATCATACTGACAACTTTTTTTTTCTCTTCTCAACATTGAACAACAACAACAAAAAAAGTTTGCCTAGTTAAATATAGAATTACCATACCAGTAAAAAAAAATTATAATAAACAAAAACTGGGAGAAAAAAATCGATCAATTGCTTTCCAGAAATTTTTTTTTTCGTTTTTGAAAACGTGAAAAAAATTCCAGAATACCAAAAAGTATATGTGTGTGAAAGTAAAACATGTCTACATAAGAGAGAGAGAGACCTGTCTATCTAGTTTGATGCGGCAGAGATGTGTGAATGAAACAAAATACAAATTTCATTCATTCACTCCAGTTCTTGCTGTCACAACAACAACAACAAATTTTCATTCAATTGACAAGGAATATGAATGAAAAAAAATCCAAGTGATTCAAGCTAATAACTAAATGGGGATGAACCAAGAATAAAAAATAAAAACTTTTACATGAACCAAATGACGTTTGTGTGTTCGGTGGGTGTGTGTGGGTGGTTGGACATTTCAAGTCGTAGTGGTAAAATGAAATTAGTGAAAATGATAAAATATTCAATTTTTGTTTCCCAGCAAGTTTTTTTATGATCAATAAATGAATGAAACTATTATGACAAGAATCGATTGAATCGATTCATTTATCGAAGAATTTTCGATTATTTTTTTTTTGAAATGATTTTTTAAAATGCTGTATAGTTTTTGATAATATTCTTTAACCAAATATGGTTAGTCATATTTTTTTCCATACTTTTTTTTTTAAATATTCAAAATTTAAAATTCAGTCACACGCGGACATAAACAATGGATGTTTTTTCTTTGGAATTCTTTTCTTCTGATTCAATGAATAGCATCATCATCATCATCATCATCACATTGAATGAAAATTGATTCAGGAATATGATAACGTGTGTGTGTGTGCAACAGACGTATGGTTTATGTGTCATTCTCATAGTTGGCAAAAAAAAATGAATGAAAATTATGCTAATTTTTCAAATGATTTTTCAATTTATTATCATCATCATCGTGATGATCGAAAAAAAAATCAAAGACAAGAAAATACAGGAATCGAGAATGAAAAAAGAAATTCAAGTATTGAAAATATGTGAATGAATGATTTTGAACGCATACATCGAAAGAATCGTCAGAAGTTTTCAGAAACCTTACCCAAAATGATGACGTTCAAAATTTATTCGAATAATGCAAAAAATATATGAAATGATTCCATCGAATTTGAATTGATGATTGAGATGTGGTGAAAGAAGGGATGCTGATGAGACAAAGAGAGAGAAAAACGTCAGAAAAATTTTGATTGAAATAAAGAAAGAAATTATTCTAATATCAAGCCACACACACACACAGAATCCAAAAGTAAATGAACGCGTATGCACATCATACCCGTTTTTGGTTCTTCTTTTTCCCCTGTTGATGATAATGATGATGATGAAAAGTGTGGGAGTTTGAAAATTAAATTTTTTTTTCTTCCATAAAGTCTTTATACGAAATCAAAATTGATGATGATGATGATGATAAGGGTGTTATATAATAGGATGATGTCTACCACTGTCAATGTCATGTGATGATTTAATTTTTCATCTTTCTCTCTCTCTCTCTTCATTCGCAATGAAAACAACCAAACCAAAAGGTCTATAGGCAATTTGAATTCCAGAAGAACAAAAAAAAACCTCTTTGAATCTTCATCATCATCATTTGGAAATGGTGGAAAGAAATTTTGGCAACTACCAAAATGACATCATCATTATCATTATTATTATTAATATTAATAATGAGAATAATTTCTTTTCTCACTGTTTTTTTTTTGATCATTTCAAAATCATTTTGTTCTCGAATTACTTTATTTTTTCAACTGGAAAAAAGAAAAGAAAAAACACTTTTTTTTATAATGGTTGATTTGAAGAGTTGGTGATGGTTGATGATTGATATTCAAGTGTGGTGGTTGGGTGTGAAACTGAAGAAATTAATTTGATTTTTTTTTCATCAAATGATTTATTCGTTTTCCATTCATTTTAAACAGAGAGAATTCTTCGATTCTTTCTTCTCTTTTTGATGAAGAGAAAACTATTTTCTCTTCGGGGAATAATTGATTTGAACATTTTAATTTTCAATTTTTTTTACATTTTTTGAAATGAATTTATTGATTAAATTTTGTTTCTAAATTTAAATTATAATTTTTTCATTTATTTGATAAATTAGGCCAAACTTGGGATACAATTTCAACGGATGATTTTAGCTGTCCACCAACTATCAATACGGTCAATACACATTATTATAAACATATTGGTAATAATGTAACGATACCATGTTCGGTTAGTGGATTTCCATTGCCACAAATTTATTGGCTATTTGAATCGACCGGTATGGGACAAACAACAATCGAATCGATTAAAGATTCTGATATTGATGAAGATGATGATGATGATAATGATGATGATGGTAATAATAATGGTAATAAATCAACGCTGATCAATAATGATAATGAATATGATGATGTTGATCGATTACAATATAATCAACAACATGATCATAATCATAATCATCATCGACAACTATTACCATCATCAAGATATTCAATTGTACAGGAACGTGAACAAATGGGTATTGTTATCAGTAAATTAACTGTACATTCATTACAACCAATCGATACACAACGAATAACGTGCTATGCACGTAATGTTGGTGGTTCAATAATGAAAAATTTTACATTAATTGTTTCTACACAGGAACCATTTAGTTCATCACGTTCAATGGATCTTTTAGTATCAGAATTTATGTTAATTGTTGTTGCAATTTGTATATTACTTATGTTATTAATGTTATTCCTATTTGTCGTGATATTTCGAAGAAAATCCAATTCATCTGCAATTATCAATAATAATAATAATAGTGGTGGTCCTACAAACCATGTAACCGATTCATCACAAGCACCAGAACCGAATCGTTTACAATTAAATGATGATGATTATCGAATGATCAAACCATCAATGATTAATGGTAATGGTAATGGTGATGTGCTTTCAAATAATATCCTAATGAATGGCAGTATTATTGGTGATGAAAAATCTATATTTCTTGATCATAATAATCATCATCATCAACCTACCTTTCTTCAACCTTATCATCACCATCATCATCCACATAATGATAATGAAACAACAACACCGGCCAATATTTTAATGGTAAATACAATTGATATGTTAGCTGCTGCTGCTGCATTATCAAATGGAAATACAATCTTATCTGCTGATCCAAGTATTTCAACTGATCTATCATCACAATCAACAACAGCAACATCGATGAATGGTAATGTTGTCAATATTCATCCACATCATCAACAACAGAATTCAACAGATTCAAGTGTAAATAGTCAACAGCAATCATATTTTCCATTCGATACAACGATAACATCATCATCATCATCACCACAACCCTCAACGATACAACAGTTACCTCCATCATTTTCTTCACATCAACCGGATATACTTGTTTCATCGAATGCCTATTATCTTGCTCCATCCAGATCATTATCATCATCAACAGCGATGATGACAACAACATCAACAACAACAACAACAACAGCAACAGCTACACAATTTCCATTATTAAATTCTGGTCCATTATTTCATATGACCAATTCAAATGATAATAATAATCATATTATTTATGGTACAACACGTATTGCACCAACACGAATGATTACGAATAATTTAGCCATCGCTGCTAATAATAATAATAATGTAATACATAATTCTTCATCAAAAATAACTAAAGTAAAATTTGCCGATGAATTTGAATCATCATCATCATCATTATCATCATTAGATCATCGTTCAATGATTATTTCATCACCACAACAACAATCATCACAAGAATCACAATCAATATCGAATAATAATCAACCATATACGACCATAGGAACAACATTACGACGATCATCAACAATGATGGATAATAATAATAATCTATCAATGAATAAACCATTAGGTATTGGTCATCGAAATATATCATCATATCCAGAAAGATTACGATTAATTGAATCATCAGTTGATTCGGGTGAACCAATACGTGTTACCAATGATAATGAAAATCATATTGATGAAACTGAAGAGGATGATTATTATCAACAGCAACAACAACAACAACAACATCCAGATTCATCAGAGATTTAGTTTCAATCAATCAATCAATCATGATTATTCTATTTCATATCTAAATATAAATCATCATTATAAATATTATCATTATTATTATATTTTATCTTATAAAAAAAAATTTTACCTCGAAATATTTTCTCTATTTCTTGTTATTATTATTATTATTGTTGTTTTAATTGATTTGAAAAAAATTTGTAAATAAATCTTTTCCAAAATAAATGAAAGAATTATTCTCTTTTTATATATATCGCGATACAATCGATTATTCTGCAGAATATATCATCTCCGCAATATGAAAATAATGAATTTTAATGTTGAAACAAAAATAAAAGTTTATTATTCATTTTGGGGGATGGAAAAATGAAATGAGATGTTGAAAAACATGTGTGTGTGTGTTTTATATTTATATTTACTGCAAATTTAAATGAGATCGTATTTCACAATCAATGATGATGATGATAGTGATGAATGTGTTGTTGTTGTTGAAAAGATTATCAATAAATCATCATCAAGGGATGAAACTAAATTGTGAACGATCTAATGATTGTTGTAAAACTTTTGATACGGTCGATGTAATTACATTGGCAATTTGTAATCGAAATACATTCGATATTGAATTAATAATTAATTCCAAAAGACTATCCCAAACACCTAATCCTTTCATTTCGATCCAAACATAGGTAATATTTTGAACCATAAATTCTTCTAAACGTGGTGTTGAACCACGTTTCAATGGTTGTCGCATACGTAAATAAGCGGTTACATTACGTATGGCTAATGATGATGAACCGGTTGGTCCATTACGTCCTTTGTTTGTTTGTTTGTTTTGATCGATCCATCCATCGATTTTTGATTCATAAATGAACAGAAAAAAAAAGAAATGAAAGAAAAAAAACAGTTAGATTAAAATGTAGGAAAAAAACATCAAATTACAAAATTATAAATGATCAAAAATTTGGAAAATGAATCGAATCAATCAATTCAATTTTCATTCAAGATTCTAATCTTTTTTCATTGAATTCACGAAATACAATAGAAAATGTGAATGAAAATGAAAATGAACAAGAAAAAAAGGAAGAATATCGATCCGAATTTGATTCCAAATATATTTAATAATAATAATAAGAAATGAATCGACATTTCTATAGAAAGATTTCAAATTTCTTTTCAAAACAATTCTCTCACTCTCTTTCGGAATTCAAATAAACTTAAACAAACATCACAGCACAACACATATCCAAAGTCTTGAAAAATGAACAAAAAAACTTGAGAAACCAAAGAATGATTTCGATTCGTTTCTCTCTTTTACTCTCTTTAGCTGCTTTATTCATCAGCCAATGGAGAGAATGAAGAAAAAGAAAAGAAATGAAATATAAATCCGAATCCAAAGTTAAATTTTTTTCCATTTTTTTTCCATCATGATGATAATATAAATACAAAAGAATCAAAGTGAAATTCATATATATCACAAAACAAACACATAACAAATGTTGAAATGTAATAAATTTCTACATTGAACAACAACAACAACATAACGTGCTACCCTCCCATTTATATAAATATAAAAATTGGTTTTTGAAATGAAGAAACATCGATCTATCCGATATCCAATATAAATATATATAGATTCTGGGGAGATTCAATTCTATTGATCGAAGAAAAACTTTAAAAAAAATATATATCTCTATATGTTCTCTGTATGTTGAAGATCATTGATCATTGAATATTTTTTCTTTCTATCGATGATGATGATGGCCATTTATAAAAAAGAGTGAATAACTTTTTTTTCATAATACTTCGATATAGGCAAAACTTTTTCCAACATCGAATATCCAATGTGTGTGTGTGTGGTTGAAAGTTGGTTGAAAATATTTGAAAAAAATGGAAAATATTTCTGTAACAAAAGTCAGGATCAAATTGAAATCAATAAATACAAAAATGAATGAATGTAGAGAGAGAAAAAAAAATATTCATAATATTTATTTATAACGGATATTTATTCTTGTCTATTTTAACCTACTGTATAGTATTTTGTTTTATTCGGTTGGATTGAATTAGATTTTTGTTTGTTTTTTTGTTTGTTTGGTTGAATCTTTAAAATCCAAAACAAAAACAACAAGAAAAAAACAAATAACTTTAACACTTGATTTTTTTTTCTGCAAAGTTCAGCATCATTAAACTCGCAATGGAAAGAATCTATGCTAGTTTTTTTGTTTTGTTTTTTTGATTGTCGTAAAAATGGGAATCATCTTTGTTTCTTTATCCACCCACCCACTGACATTACAGATATGAATTTAAGTGACTATCCTGTATTGATGATGGTGGTGGTGGTGGTGGTGATGGTGGTGTCCACATAATGTTATCACATTGAAAAATTAAATGTTTATCACGATCAATTTCATTTCATTCTTTTGATGGAAGAAGAATGTTCACTGGTCCTATGGATTCTTCTTTTCGTTAAGCAAAAAAAAATGTGTGAAAATTTTTTTGTTTCACACATTTTTATTTTCTAGCGGGTGTTCAATTCATTTAACACTTTATTCGAAAATGAGAATCATTTTCATTTTCATTTTTCTCTACTTCAAATTGTTGTCTATAAAATGGTAAGAAAAAAAACTAACAAAACAGAATGAGATATGCCATTAAACATTACGAATGTTTTCTATCATTTACCATTATTCTTTTTTTGGTCGAGATAAGACACTTGGCTTTATGACAACAACGATGGCTGACAATCAGAACTGAGAGAAAAAAAAATGAACTGAATTCTTTTCTGTTTTCAACCAACAACAACAACAAAAAAGATGTAAGTAGAAAAAAAACGCTTGAATAAAACTCACTAACTTGGTTTAAACTTTGTTTAAATGTTTTTTTTTCATTTCGTTTTTTAAAAAAATAGGAAATGAAAAAAATTTTGAACAGAAAAAACAAACTAGAATTTTCAATTCGTAAGGAAATGAAAACAAAAGTGAAAAGAATTTCGAATGTTGTCAGTTTTGTTTGAATTCGATGTGTATGGTCCATCATCACGATGAAAGTTCATTTCTTTTTCTTTTATTTTTTGTTTCTAAAACAAAAATAAAATTCTTGATGGATTTCTCGAATTATCATTATGAACAAACAACTAACCAACCAACCAACCAACCAACAGAAAAAAAACGACTATCATCATCAAGAACAATCATTTATTAATAGAGAAGACATTAATTTGAAATCTCAAGTGGCAACCATCAAACAAACAAATAAACAAACATTTAAAAGAAAAATAAAATTCTTAAAATGTTCATTACAACTATCCACGCACTATCCACCAGAATCAGATTAAAGAATATTTTTTTTCGAAATGAAAATTTTTTTAAAATAAGAAAAAAAATAACCACTTACCCAATACATTAATATTCCAATCATATTTGCCGGTTAAATTTTGAAAACCAACTTGTGCTTCAATAATGGCTGATTCATCTTCATAAATAACATATATATCACCCATACGTGTAAATGTTGATAAACCATAAAGTTTTCCATGTTCAATATCGATGGAAATATTTATCGGTATAAATTGTAAAATTTTTGTTTCAATTTGTCTTTGAAATGATGGTAATGGTATTGGATCAATACGATGTTTAATACGTTTACTAACCATCCGTACAATATCATCGAATAATATTTCTGATTCATGTTGTATTAATTGATCTAATTTTATTCGTTCTAAACGTTGATTAATTAATGTACGAATTTTTACTGATATTTTATCCGTAACTGTATATTTTACTTGATCAAATATTATATCACTTAATGCACTGATTATTGTTTGGGCGATTACTTCGGAACCGAATACTTCAAAATTTTCCAGATCTAAATTTACTTCATCAGCTTTCATATTTAAATCGATTGTATCGATATGTAGCTGTCCATTTGACATACGTTCAAGATTACCGAATGCATCGATTTCCATATCTGATATATTGAAACGAAATGCTCCGGCTCCTTCGATTGACACAAATGATACCTTAAAAGAAAGAAAGAAAAAACAGAATGAATCAAATGTAAATGACAACAATGATTAAATCTAATTTAACATGATGAAACAAGAATCATAAATAAAACAAACATCTATCTATCAATCAAACAGCCTTATCAAAAAGAGCTAAAAAAGAAGAATTCCAATACAAAGTGATTAATTGCTACCAAAACAACAACAACAAAAGTGAAAAATGGAAAAAACTTTTGGTACTAACGATTCATCCGATCGACCAACCAACTGGCCTAATATAACTAATAATGAGATTTTGTTGCAAACAAAATTTTCAAAAATGCTCTTTTTTTTTGGTTCAATAAAGGACAATGAATCGTTTTTTGTTTGTTAGAAATCAAATCATCAATTTTCTTTCAAATTCTTTATTATCGTAAAAAAACGAAGAAGAAAATTCTCTCTAACACTTTTGGGCCATCTTTCAAATAATTTTTTACCCATCCAATTGTGGATGATGGTGAGATCAATTTAGAAAAAAAAAGTTGTTGTTCTCCGAAGTTGAATAAAAAAAATAAAATGATAATCAAAACATTATCTTGGCAATCTCAAAGGGTTAATTTATTTTTCTTTAGAGAAAATTTAGATTTTTTTTCTGGCACTTAATATCTCAACGTTGCCAATTTTTTTCAAGAATAAATTCAACAAAAAGTTAATTCACAATGTTCATGGTCATGAAAGAGAAAGAATAAAATCAAAATCAACTAAATACTAATTATTCTTGGGATTTCAAATACCTTTTTTTTTTGTTCTCGTTCATCCGTTTATACACACACAGCGTTACGTGTTGATTTTTTTTTTTGTTTCAATGGAAATTTCTCTCAAAAAAATTCTGTGACACAAATATAGTTGACAAACAAACAAGAACAAACAAGAATATTCTCTTTTTTCTCTCCTAACAATTTAAATCTCTTCTCATGGCAATGAATGGTCCCAAATGATCCATCTGGTGAATAACAGAATCCAGAACTGTTCATTTTTTGGAATATATTGTTGTTGGTTCTTTTGTGTGTGTGTGTATATCTGCATATATAGAAAATTTTAATTGGAGTTTCTATACAAAAATTTCTTCTTATTTTTATCATGGAAAAAGAAAGAAAAAAAAGAAAGAAATCTCATAATCATCATTTAGATTTTTTTTGTTGGTGAATCTTTTTTTTTTGCTCGATTCATGTCATTTTGTTTGTTTTAAATTTATTTTTTCATTTTTTTTTTAGAAATAAAATCCAATCCAATTGCAAATAAATCCTTCGTTTTCACTCTCTTTCTGGCATTCAAGATTTTAATATATTTTTAAACAAAAAAAAACTAAAAAACTAAAACCGGAAATTAATTTCCGGATAGCGCTAAAAAACGAATCTATTTTTTTCTACCAACTTTCATCCATCAATTCACGAATCACACAGAAAAGATCAAATGAAATGTTTGTTTCAAAGTTTTTTTTTTGTTTTTCAATCTATAGTCAAGTCATTATTATCAACGAATTCGTTAACAACTATCTTCGGGTATACCCCGGGTATAGTTGTTATGATGATAATAACATTACCCAGAAACAAATCATGTCATCATTATAATTATTCATAATATGCATCACACACTTACCGAACCGTCAAGTGTATAGTTTCCGGTTAGAAATACTTCTGATATGGTTAAATGGATCTGTGTTTGTCGGGTAGAATATAATGAGAAAACAAAAACAAAACAAAAAATTAAATTTTTAAAACAAAGATTTAAGAAGAAATAAATACAGACATTGGCATTCAATTTTCCAACATTAGCACGAATTGATTCAATTTCAACATTACGTATACCATACATCATAACATTGGAAAATTTTCCATTATAAGATGTAAGCCAATCTTCATCTTTCGAAACTGGTATATCACGTACACGAACCGGATCGGGTAAAAATTCATCAATCAATAATTCTGGTCTTATATGGCCATGATTTTCATCCACTTTTTCAGCTAATTTATTTAATTTTGATGAAATTTTTTTCAATTTTTCAACATTTTCATTATCAACTTTAATTATTTTGGATAATTTTTTTAAATCTTCATCACTAATTAATTCACCGGATTCAAAATCATCAAATGGATCTGGTGTTGTTGTTGTTGTTGCTGCTGTCGATTCTGTAGATTCTTTAACTGTTTCACGTTTTAATTTCTGTGTAGTTGCAACAGTTGTTGTCGAAATGGTTGAACGTTTTTCTAAATCTGGAGATGAATCTTTTTAAATTTCATTATTATTGAATGAAATAAAAATCAAATCAGAAAAAGAAGAAAAAAAGATAAGAAAATTTTTTTCTCAACAAAAAAAAATCCAATTTAAATTTTTTCACATCCATGGGGGTAGGTAGTAGTGGTGGGGTAAGAAAGAAAAGAATTTCCATCATCATCATCATCATTGAAAAGAGTTGATGTAAGTAAAGTAAATTACAAAACTTTTTTCAAAATAAAAAAAATAAAAATAAAATTCTTATCATCATACCAGAAGTTAATTCGGCGGAAATTTCATCATCATCTGGTTGACTATTTTCATCATTGTTGTTGTTGTTATCGTTGCCACTAGAAGAAGAATCTTCTTGATCATCATCATCATCATCATCATTATTCAATGATCCGTCTAAAGGATGATTATTTATTATCGTTGTTGTTGTTGTTGATAATGTTTTCAATGATGATGATAATGGTAATATCGTTGTTGTATCATATTGATCATCATCATTATAATGGATTTCGGATATTTGTAATGATAATTTACAACAAACAATAATAATAATAATAATAAATTTGATGGCCATCGATAATGATTGCCTAGATTTATTGATTGAAAAATTCATTTTATTTTTTGTTTCAATGTTTAATTTTGGATTCGATTCGGTTTGCAATTGAAAATCTCGTTGTTATTTTCAAAAGGTTTTCTGATTTCACACAAAATAGAAACAAACACAATACACACACAAGGAAAGTTTGAAATCACTTTCAATTTGACGTTACTGATTAGCGAACTAAACTGAATGAATGAAGGAAGAAAAAAATTCACTGAATTTGTTTGTGTTTCTTTTCAGAAGAATTGAAATCCTGTCGTCGTCGTCGTTGCTTGTAGAATGAAGGTCATCAATGTATATACGCGAGATGATGAAGGCAGATTGAATCTTTCTAAAATTTTGTTGGAAAAAAACAAACAAACAAACAAAAATTATTTGTTGGCCATTTCATTTGTAATCGTACAATGAATGAATGAATGTAAGGATGAAAAGGAAAGTGTGGAATAAATTTCACTTTTAAATTAATCAATCAATCAATAATGCATCAAATGATCATTTGATCAATGATTAACACACGATCATTATCCATGTGCAATGGTCAATCTATCGTTGTTGTTGTTGTTGTTGCTGCAATCTATCAATGTTATTTGCTTAATGCAAGTTTGTGTTTTTTGTTTTAAAACCTGTTTCAAAAAAAAATTTTAATTTCGATCAACATTATCGATTGATTGAAGATATTATACGGGGATACATCTCTCTCTAATAAATTCATATAACATTTGAAAAAAACATTTTTTGTCTGTCTGTTTCTGGGTTTTGGGTTTTTTTTGTCTTCTATTCACTAACTAAATCTCGTTCTCGCTCTTTTCATTACGTCATAATCAAGATTTTTGTTGTTGTTTTGAAAAAAAAATTTAAACAAATCGATCAAAATTTCATTGCACCCAATTCTCTTCCTTCGTTTTTTTTTGTCAAGCAAAGTCAGTACAAAAAACTGGACCATCAAAATCAATTAATATGTTTTCGGGGAGAAAAAGTGAGAGAGGAGGGGAAAAGACTGATAATTATGTTAAAATGACGTAATCCTCACTGTTGTTTTTGCTACAACTACAAAAACAACAACAATAAAATCATTGGATAGTAAAATTGTCAAAATGAAAAAGAAATTTTCTCATTTTGCAAATGAAAAGGTTCATTACCAGTACACATCCATACATAGATTTTTACCTTTCCATTCATCCATCCATCATAATCAATTATAATGATTTTTGTAAATATAGAAAAAAATATTTATAAAAATCCAACTTACCCAATGTTTCAACTTTTCAAAAAAATCTTCAGAAAAAAAGGCAATCATCAACAAACCAAACAAATGAAACGACGTGTCGTTTATTCGATGAAATCAAATGAAAATGATATATCCGATCGATACCAATCGAATCAAATTGATGATGATAAAAAAAAAGAGAAAAAATGGTTTCATTATCTTGTATTTGGTACTAAAAAAAATATCATATTCAAAACGAATAAATTATCAATCAATAAATGCTGATAAACACTGATGATATTTAAAACGTTTTTTGAAATCAAACATCCATCGATTTCAATTTTTCATTTTGTTAATAATCTCGTTTATGATAACAGAATGATAATGATGATAATAAGTTTGATTGATTTGAAAAATGACAGAAATCTTTGACCTCATTCAAATTTTTCATTTCATTCATTTTTTCTGGTGATTTTTTCATTTTTATAATCCAAAAAAAAAACAACCAATCAAACTAGGCCTTTGACCTCAATTTTTTCCAGAAATATAATCACCAGATGATAACGATGAACCAGAAAAAAAATTTTTATTCCAAGGTTAGAAAACCAAACAAAGTTTTAAAGATATTTTACGAAAAAAATAAATTAAGCAACTATATCGATCGACGGTGACAAAAAAAAATCTTTTAACATTTGATTTTCGTTTATTAGCCACACAAACAGCAAATATTTGGAACAATTTGAAAGTTTTTGTTTTTCATTAGTTCATCATTTTTTTCTGATTCCAAATGAAATATTGGTTGAAAACCTGATCAACTATAGCCATCATCATCATCATCATCATTACATGACTTGAATTTATTAACAAAAATACAAAATGTTTTTTTTATTTATTTATTTATCCATTGAGAAACATTGTGAAATTATTATTATTATTTAGAATGTTGTTAACTGCAAGTAAAATTGAAACCCTGCAAAAAAAAAACCACGTATCATCATCATTAATGTTAATTGTCTTTGGCAATTGTTGTTGTTGTTGTTACTGATAATGGACATTCAGAGGTTTAATAGAGGCCAATAATAATAACCGGGAATAATTCTTGATTTTATTTTATTTTCTCGTAATTATCATCATCATCATGATCATCTGGTGAAAGTTAGAAGAATTTGCTGAATTTATATTCAGTAGATTTTTTTCTTGTTTATTTGGTTGGTGGTGAAACATTGCTACAGTTGATTATATAATCAATTGATGATGATGATGATAATTGCAAATCGATCATGATAATCAATAATAATTGTTGATGATGATGATGATGTAACAACTTTTTTGTTGTTTGATTTTCCTGATGATGATGATTGGATTCTGTAGATGTGAATGTGATGAAACAAAGAATCCAATAATAAACATTTGGTCATTCATTTGGGTCTAGAATTCTTTCATTGTTGTTTGAAATACATTCGATTCATTGTTTCAATGTTGATGAAGATGAAGAGGCCAGAATAAAAAAGGAAACAAAATGAAAACAAAAATAGAGCGAAATTCTGACACGTTCCACACACACACACAATTGGATTCTTTTCGTTTTATTTCGCTTTGTTCAAATTTCTACCAAAAAAACAGAAAGAATCAAGCGACCATGTTTGATTATTATGATGAACAAAACAAAAAAACGAAAGAAATGAATTTTCCAACAACAGAATAATAACGAAAAAAAAAGAAACATTGGGATAAAGCTTGGTTCAAACTTTTTTTTTTGTTTTCATCCGCATCATCATCAGCATCAGTATTTTTTCTCTTTTACTGGGTTGCATACATTCATTCATTTCATTGATTCATGACTTTGGTGATGATAAATTCGTGGCAATTTTTTTTCCTTCGTTCGTTTTTGTTTTTTGTTTTTATTCTTGAAGCTTTATCATCATCATCATCATCGCTAAATATTATCATTATTCGATGGATTCTTGTTTCTTTTTTTTTGTTTTGTTCATATTCATAGAATTTTTTTTTCTTCTTTCCATCATCATCATCATCATCATCATCATTATTCATGTCCATTGAGAATCTTTGTTTTGCATGATGATGATGATGATGATATGCACATCGATCGTTGAATCTAACGCCCACCACCACCATCACTTTTTTTCGGTGTGTTATTCTCCCCACCACCACTACCACCATGAACACCACCATAGAAACAAAACAAAAATAGCAATACCAATTGGAAATTTACAATAGAGAATATGAATGAAAGATAGGCGTCAGATGATGATGGCGATGATAAAAAATAAAATTCTGACAATGATGATTATTATTATTATTATTATAACGATTCATTAAAATTTAATCAGCATTTTCTTTTCACTTCGTCATTTACTTCGTTTCATGGATATATATTGAAAGCAAAAAAAAAATTATGATAGTTTTTCGATGATAATAGTTTTTTGTTTTTGTTTCTTTTGTTCTTGATTCTGGAACTGGAAACAATCCATATTATGAATGAATGAATAGTGTGGAGAGAGAGAGATGCAAGAATATTCTTTAGAAAAATGATGTGAAATTTATTTTTGTTTTTGTTTTTTTTCTGTTTTTACGATGACAATTCTTTACCAACGATCCATAAAGATATATCATGATTTATTCACATGAAATTCTTTTTCTTTCTTTTTTTTTGTTCAACGATGATGATGATTATGTGTGTGTGTATGTTGATGAAACAAAAGAATATTTTTCTTCATAATATTTAACTACGAAAAACAAAATGAATGATCATCATTTAAAAAAAGAAAGAAAGAAAGGTATCGATAATTGTATCCGATTGATTTTATCTATAGCTATTTCCACATTTTACAGTGCTCATATGTCTAAATAGATTGTTTGTTTTGCTTCTTCCGAAGAAAATCTCGTTCCGCTCGTTTCAAATAATGATTGAGGAAAAAAACTTTTTATTTAACCATGTAATAGCAATAACTATCAACCATGATGATGATGATCAAATTAATAAACTAACTTTCTATTACAACAACTTAGTTAATAATCTTTTTTTTTGGCTATATTAACCCAAAATAATGATCATAATCATAATCATTATGACTAATTCTCATATTATATTTACACGCTCACATTCTGAACGATAATGAAAGAAATAAGTTTGAAACAAAAAACAAATTCAATTGATATGAATGTTTGTTTGTGTGAAAAACATTTTCATTACATAACTATTGTTTATTGATTATCATTATTTAAAGATGAGTTTCAGGAAGAAAAAAAAACCCTAAAAATATCGATAGTATCAAATTATCAATTGAAACAAAATTATTATTCGTTCATCACTATCATTCGATTCGAAGAATAATTAACCTTTTTGATGTTTATTCTGCCATTTTTTTTGATGATCATTTCTGCAACAAAAATAAAAAACAAACATTGAAGAAAAAAAATTCATATTTGAAGCCTAAAAAAATGAGAATGATGATTAATCATCATCATGATCATCATGAAAATTTCTCACCATTCATTCATTCATTCATTCATTATATGTTATGTTCCATTTGGATCAATGTATCACCCAACTAGCATCATTATTATCATCAGCAAAGTC